GGGCCCCACTCGTTGAATCAGCTTCTCCACGAAGTTGTTGATAATTGTGTTCTTTGTCCCTAATTTTTTAGGCCTGTAACATTTTAGTACCTATTGCCTAATACTTCTTTTTTCAGTTAACTTTTAGTCCCCAAATTATTCGGATCCCAACTCTATTAAAAAAACCTACGTGGGTCAAGTGGTCACTTAATTATTGGTTAAAGGATATCTTATTTTGGGTGTGGAATTAATTCTCATCTCTTCTCGCATTTCCCTACTGTGGTTGTGATCGTTGCTGTCCTTTTGGACAATCGGTAGATTGCACTTTTGTTCAAGTTCAATATCTCTCATTAACAATTCTACTTTTACTAATCTCTAAACATTGCTCTCGTTAAAAAAAAAAAAAAAAAAAAAAACAAAGAAAGAAAAAAAAAAAAAAAAAAAAACAGAACAGCTCATCATTTTTTTTTTTTAAGAACAAAAACAAAGAATAACAAAAATTGGCAGGGGAACATACCAATATCGAACTGCTTTACAGCGGGCACACCGCGTGGTGGTGGGGGAATAGCAAACCGCACACTGGTGATAACCCCTTGCGACCGAAACAGCACCGTAGTCTAGCGAGGCTTGAAGCTCAGCCCTAGCATCCTCCTCAGCAGCCAAGACCAAAAGCCTCTTGATCTCCTCCTTCCTGGCCACCGCGAGGCGCCATTTTCTCCGAATTACGAGACTGATCACAGGGACAATCAGAGAGACCACAAGGACCAGGCTCGACAACCCTAGATCCCCGACAACGTACATTTATCCTTCACCAGTATGCATCCAAAAGAAGCAGCACAACCTAGACTCCTAATCTCACCACCACACATAGATTCAGTCGACCGTGACAGAGGTGAAGACTATTCCGGCGGTTGCGCATGCAGATAAAAGAAGATCACAGCCGTTGATTGGACAAACCCAGTCATGATCGGACGGTGATCCAGCGTCCAATCTACGAAACAAAACGAAATCGGAATGCTGATGTTGTTTCAGTTTGCAAGAAGGTGAAGTGAGCTGAGAAGATTGAGCTTCGCGGATTTTCATACAAACAAACGAAATTTTCTGTTTGGATCGAGAAGGCTGTGATTTTCCCGGAGAGAGAAAGAGAGAGAAAGCGCAGGAAAATTATCAATTTGAGTTAAAACAGTATTAATGAGAAACTATTAAAAAAAAGAAAAAAAAAACTGTCCAATTAAATATTGGGGAGTTTTATGAACGTTTAAAAGGGAGAAGAAATTGAAGATCGAGGGAAAGGAATTTTTTGGTTTGAGGCATCGAGAGGCGTGAATTCTTTGCTCATCAAATATTCGGACCGGTGGGCCCCACTCGTTGAATCAGCTTCTCCACGAAGTTGTTGATAATTGTGTTCTTTGTCCCTACTTTTTTAGGCCTGTAACATTTTAGTACCTATTATTACCTAATACTTCTTTTTTCAGTTAACTTTTAGTCCCCAAATTATGCGGATCCCCAACTCTATTAAAAAAGGTTGTGTGGCTCAAGTGACCACTTAATCATTGGTTAAAGGGTATCTTATATTGGGTGTGGAGTTAATTCTCGTCTCTTCTCGCATTTTTTCGCTGTGGTTGTGATCGTTGCTACCATTTTGGACAGCTGGAGGATTGCACTTTTGTTCAGATTCAATACTTCTCATTAACAATTCTAACTTTACTAATCTCTAAACATTGCTCTCGTTAAAAAAAAAAAAAAAAACTCTATCAAACGCTGTTATAATTGATAGAGACAATCATGTAACTGACAGCATCTAACCTACATTGCCTTGAGACAAATAAATAAATAAAAATATAAAAGATGACCTACCTAATAACCTATATTTTTAAATAAAACATATTATTTTTTCACTATATATAAAAATTCAAGAAAATAACAAGAAAATTACTCTTACAAAGTCATTGCTCACCAAAGACAGCGCATCGTACTGTTTACATATATTTGCATATGCCATTAATTACAAATTTACAATTATAATAAGCCCTATAATAAAGAGAGAACTTTTTATGGACCAATTCAAATGATTTAGAGACCAAATGGATAAGAAAAGAGTTGTTGAGGACTAATTTGATTAAGTAACGTAAATATTTACTCAGTTTGAAAGAAGAGGTGGAGAGGAATAAACTTAAGGGTCAACAAACGCAACCTAGTGATAATCTCATTTTTAGTAAAATAAAAAATTTTAAATTCAAAGTTATTGACATGTAAATGCGATTAGGAAGAAGATAGAAGATTATTACAAGGGTGTTTAACAAACTTGAAAAGAAACTTGTCCTAAAAGTAAAATTTTCTTTCATAAATTTAAATATTTGTTAGAGAAAAAAATTAAAGTTTAATTTTTAGAGGGTATTTAAATATTTTTCAATTTTAATTAAAATATAATAAAAATATAAAAAAAATATTATCTCTTATTATATAATTAAAAAATATATATATATAAAGTTGCCATCCCCACACCCCTTGCCAAACACTTTCCATCTCGGCTGTGTAACGCATGATTAAGAAAAGACAAAAAGAAAAGAAAAAGATTTAAGGTTGCCGGACCGTTACAGTCAGAAACATGTGCAAGTGTGACGAGGAAAGTGGGGTATGGGGGTGGAGATGAACGGTGTAGATGCTTCTGATGATTTTGTGGGGGTGGTGGGGATCTGGATTGATGACAATGGCTGCCTCACCATTTTCCATATAATGTACTATTATGTTATTGCTGACCAAGCTTCTTTCTTCGCTTGGAATTAACCGTCGCACAAGTTATCGCTTTCCTGCGTATATG